ATATTGGAGAAAAGTGGGAGAAACGTTGTTGAGTTCTTGTGCCTCTAGGAAGATGTTTCTTAGAATGAGATTATGTAACATTCATTTTTCAAAACTGGGAAAATGCAACGTTCCAATACGTTTTTTTCCTCAAAACGAACAATTTGATTGAAAAAAAGTTATTTGGCTTTGTTTACAAAGTTTGCTAGATATTAGCGTTTCAATACTAACGTCGGCCCGAGTTACATAATTGTTTTGATATGTTACGCTCAATATCATATTAAGAACAGTTCACTTATGTTTTTCATTTGTTTTTGATTGAATCGGAATATATAAGTGGAGTTATAACGCATCAACAGGATAATGACATCGCCCAGAGCAAATTGAAATAACAAAACAGAGAATGCCAAGTTACAAATAAAGTATTGCCATCGTCTCTGACAGCCCTTGTACGAAACTGAACAATATCCTGGACAAGTTGCCTGTCTGTCGTGCAAGTTCTGTTCTCCAACGTAGCATGTTTTTCATTTGCTATCGCCCAGAGCAAATTAAAGAGCAAAAATAAAGAGAATGCCAAGCTACAAATAAGAAACTATTTTCACTGTTCTTCACAAACTTGAAAGAAACAACATTTCTGAACAAGTTGTCTGTCTGTCGTGCAAGTTCTGTCCTCCGTGTTTGACCTTGAGACGGAACGTGCGTTGACCTTGCGTGGCCCGGGCGGACTGACCCTCCGCGGCACCATGGCCCCTCCCCCCGCGGGATGATTGACAGCTCAGTACCACGGCAGTTCCTACCCGGCATGGCCACGGCGCCCTCCCCAGTCCTTAAGAGATTATCTCCCGACTAGCAGGCGGCTCTCAGGTGAGTTTCACGCACTTCTGGTAATGATTGACAGCCTTTTCAGACGGTCGGGTTGACACCCGGGGGTCGCGAACGGTTGTGCTCCTGTCGGCTGTTGATCGTACCGTGCTGTCGCATTTAGTTAGTCAGCCCGACTGTTGTTGTCCCCTGACAACAGCCTGTCCTGGTCTCCTGACATGTGGGCGTTTATCAGAAATATAAAGCGTCTTGCCGGCTTCACCAGGCATCAGCTACTTGTATGGTGTTGACGGTAGTGCTAGCTAGGAACTCCCGTATGGGCTATGTGGGCGGTGGTTGTTGTGTTGTTCTGCCTATATTGTTGTTGTCCCGGCAGTTTTTCTGTAATGATGCGGGCGCTTCCTGGTGGCGAATGTTCCGGAATTTCCGCCGACCAGGACCAGAATCCTCGTGGTTTTGTGTACATATATATATGGCAACATCTAGTCACTGCTACATGTGTGGCACTTGTCATTGCTACATGTGTGGCACTTGGGTTAGAAGAACTACACCGAGTCTGTCTTGTCCATGCCCCTTATCGTGCCTTATGTTTTGTGATATCTCCAATGTTACAGTTATGTAATGTAGCATACTATATCGCTGTTATGTAATGTACATGTCTAACTCGAACCCTGACCATGCATAAATCTCTATAAACCATGCACACATGCGTGCCGCCGCATCGTATCGGATCAAATCGCGCGAACTGAAAACTACGGTCTGTGAACTCCGTCCGTCTGCAACAGGTGGGAGTAGGAGCGGTCTTCGGTGCGCACTAGCCTCCATGGCACCCCAAAAACTGGGGGTTTTGGGAGTCTTCAGGGTCTTTGGGAGCTTTTTTCTGATATTGCATATCTATAGACAACATAGCCGGCCTGGTTGAATTACCCCCGGATTTTTGGACTGGGCTAATCAGAAAACAGCCGAAGATCACCAAACCCCCAGTTCTATAAGCCTGCTACGGAAGCTAGGTGCACACTTTGGCAGTGCCCCTCCTCACACATTCCATACAGTTGCTTGATCTATCTTATACAGTAGATCCCACTTATCTTATATACTTGTATATACTTGTATATTTCGGGGGATTGTATAGAATTCTAAAACACCAAACCATTTACCATTCACTCAATGTAAAAACAATGCATAATTGTATAGCGCATTGTCGTATATTTCGGCGAGTCGAATAGAATTTGGCCCGACTAGATCGCATAATGGCCAAGAGCTACGCATAAAATGTTAGCAAAGACAACAATAATGGACAATTGAGTATTTGTATAAAGACACTAGACCACCCAAAAATGTATTTTTTTAAATTTTATTTTATTAAATGTATTACGTACTCTGTAATGTTCTTGGATATCTAACCTTTGTGCACGCAACTGACATTACGGCCAAACCTGCACTACAAACCGCCTGCCCTGTCCACTAGCCTGGGTGCCATCCTCCGTAGTTTTTGACCGTCCCCTTACGTCGCTGGGCACCGCATTAGGGAGCGGGCGAAAACTACAGAGGATGGGACCCAGGCTACATGTCCACTTGGCAGAGCCGCTGACCTGATGAGTCCTGATGTCCAGACACTGACAGTGCAGCCACCTGAGAAGAAACTCTTTACTTCAAACTCAGTGAACTTTCTCAGACCGTCCGACAGATCGGTTACCCCCTCCTAAAAGAATACCTGTTTTTTTTTTTTAAATTAGCTACTAGTATTAGCTCAACTGTGGATATTTACAAATAGATTTACGGTTAAAATAACATGGAAATTGAAAAAGGCGTTTACAACGTTAGACGACCACACATTCACTACTTGACACCGCACACATGAATTGTGCAGTATCTTCATTGTACGAATCTTTAATTACGCAGAAAATTTTGTCCGAAGCAAATCAAAAATGAATTTCACTTGAATCATTAGTCATGGAATGTATATGATGCTTTGCGTAATGATTTCAAATTTCTTTGCTTACGTATTTTGGATTGTGTTGTAACAACAATTTGTACAACCATTAACAACCATTTACAACTATTCGCAACCATTCAAAATCATTCACAACTATTCTCAGCCAACAGCTGAATAGGGCATCTACAGCGTGTTTTAGCCATAGTGATTTTGCTTACATAAATATTGAAACGGCTACATAATGAGGACATTGACATTTCGGCATGTACGGCCATATGGTCATTGTAGTGTTGTTAGCATTACTTAAAGTCTGCCAATGTAAACATTTGTTTACGTGTTTCTCAATAAAAACATATATCTGCATCAGGCAGAAAAATGAATGTTTAGGTATACGTTTAAATCGGAAAAAAACGCGGTAACACTGCTGGAACTAAACTTAAACAGAAACAACTCTGTACATGCATAATGTACAATGTAGGGAAGTAGAAATTGTCAACTTATAGATGGTTTCATTTCAATAAACGTTCGGCGTAATTACACCACAACGTTTAGACTAGACTTAAAACAACATGTAACACCCGGTAATGTATGTACAACTTGTACCGAAAGCAATGGTTAGCCTCTGTGTCAGCGCGCTTTGTAACTGTGTGGACGTTGCCGACAGCCCACCAGAAAAACATAACTTACACTACATGCAGACGGCATAAGAGAAACTATACAAGCACAATAAAGCGCCACGGAGAAAGCCAAAAAATATGTTCATGTAAGCGGGTATATTTCAGATACAAACGTCTGACCGTTTCCAAAATGATATCCAGTTGCTTGAGTAACTGCTTTTGTCGTATATTTTAGGTACTCTAGCGGCGTTCTTGCCCGCCTATCCTCACAGTATCTCGCCAGGCAAGTGTCTGTGTGTCGGAATGTTGGATGTTGGTTAATCAGTCCGACTGATATCGCCGTGCCTCGTGGCGGTGAGATACAGTTAAAGCCCGCGGCCCCACACACGGTGGCGCTGTGGTCGGGTGCTGTCCCACACACATTTACCATATGCAGGCTTTGGTGCTGTACTCGTACCACACACAGCAAGGATGTGTCCTGTTGTTGTCCCGCGGCCATGTTGTCAGCACACCAGAGGCAGAAGTTTAATTCGCCTCGAGCCGTCCATACACTTATGGCCGTCCACACACAGCCGGGCCATACCTTAATCGTGGGAACTGAGATAAGTAACAAACCCCTGTCCGCAGTGACTGGCCACAGCATCTGCAACAGTCTGTGTCTGGGTTTGTAGCGAACAAACGAGTCCAGAACCACCTCCCCATGTTAACTGTTTTTTCCTCCCAAGTAGTTTTCAGACATAAGGATCGTTGTATGATATGTCTGCTTATGGCTCGAGTCTAGAATGTGACTTCTTTAATTTCTTCATTTAACGTTCCTCAATCCTCATTGGTACAACTAATTTACTGCGACTTTCATGAGGTAAACCACAACTATACAAACTATACATACAAACAAATGGGTACAAATGAACCAACAATGTTGCGTATTACTTATACTGCTAGTTCTAAGGTGTAAACATTCGTTGATATATTTACCTATGTGTATGCAGTGCGGGTTATCTCCTTCTAGTATATAATCAAATTTATCTATTGGAAATATATTTGTATTATTATGTATCATGATACACTTTTGATGATTAGATGAAATGAAAAGAAGGTTGAACAGTTTTCGTTCCTCTGCAACAGTCGTATATATGTATAGTTAGCTACAACCAGACGCGCGATGTGTGTAACTGGATATGTTTATTGGTGGTAACGTAATGTTTGCAACTAGCTGCAACAATAAACAGCACTGCAACGTTAAAACATTACGTTATGAACCATGCCGTGGGCGTCTTTACCATTATCTGTACATGTTGACGGCAAGAAATCATGTCAGTAAAAACGTAAACATGTTGTCAATTCTTCCTTTTGCAGCTAAACGTTGTTCAGGAACCAACGTCAAGCACAGGTGCCGCTCTGTGTAGTAATGTATATAACACAGTAACGTAGTGTTTGAGACAAGTTGTTTTTCTACAGCATATCTCAAATGTCTGTTTCCTTCACTGTAACTGTCTAGGCCATTTCTGTAAGAATACACACAAGAGAAGACATGACAAAACATTACAGGAACATATAGGCTTAACAATCTACAAAATTATTACATTATTCTATAATTCTATGTGAAATCAAAACGCAGCTATATAACCCGTTTCCTGCCGTTCCAGACCTCAGCTGACTGACCACCGACCGAAGAGACACCCTGTTCACACCCGGGAACCACCGAGGAACCATCCTGGAGAGTCCGGCAGCAGCAGACGTCAAGCCCCACATGCCGCATAAAGGTCGGAACGCCTTCCGTTTGTTTATTTGTCTGGTTGTTTGTTGGTTGGTATATACGTTGCTTGCTTGTTTGAACCCTAACTAACATTTACAAAACGTAGTGTCTGAAACAAGTTGTTTTCCTACAACATATCGCAGACGTTTGTTTCTGTAGCTGTAACTGTAACTTGACAGTCAATGTCTGTATTCCAACGGATAAGCACAAGAGAAGGCAACCCCTTGTGTTTGTTTGTTTGTTTTTCGTTTGGTTGGTTGCTTGTTTGTTTTTCGTTTGGTTGGTTGCTTGTTTGAACCCTTACTAACATTCACGCAACGTACGTAGTGTCTGAAACAATTTTTTACAACATGTCGCAGACGTTTGCTTCTGCAACTGTAACTTCCCAAGCAATAACCCCTTATGTTTGTTTGTTTGTTTGCTTGTTTACTAGTTTCTTTGGCTGGTTGGTTGCTTGTTTGAACCCTAACTAACATTCATGCAACGTACGTAGCGTCTGAAACAAGTTTTTTTTAATAACATATCGCATACATTTGTTTCTGCAACTGTAACTTCCCAGTCAATGTCTGTATTCCAACAAGAAAAGGCAACCCCTTCTGTTTGTTATTTGTATTTTTGTTTGCTTCTTTAAACCCTAACGTTCACGCAATAGCAATAGGTAGAAATTCCCGTGTTGTAATGGCCGATGAAAAGCCCGGCGTCCCTCCCCGGCCCAGTCGGGATGTGCCGCCCCTTGTGTGGAACCAGCCGCTCCGCTGGCACGGTAGCTGTTAGCTGCTGTTTTGTGTTTTGTTGCTGTTAACGGTAGCTGCTGTTTATGGAGTACCACTTTCTGTACATCTTCCCAGTGTACGATTCTCCTGTCACGGGTGGGTATTATTACTGATGTGTTGTTGCAACAAGAATCTCACTACGTTCAGAATGCTTACATGTACATGTATATGTATATGTTTATGTACGCTGTTGTAATCACCACAATGAATTGAGACGTTCAGTGTATATGTTTGCCACATTGGGCCAAGTACAGGTACATTAACACATATTCAAAGTTGATAAATATACAACGTAAACTAGCTAACATTACATACATCAGGCCCTTTGCTATTTAGTTAGTGGAAATGTCTAGTTGCATTGGAAATATGAATTTTTATTAATGTAGGATAAAATAAGTATATGCCGAGTATTTCCCCTGTTGGCATTTAAATTGCCTCCATTACAAATGAAATTCGTCCTGTATCTAATAACCATCACCCAGCTCAATCGGCCCACAATATGGGACCATTTGGTGCCTTTCTTCCCGCTGAATACCCGTTAAGCCTTTAATTGCCGAGGTTATTTATGAGTAACGAACATTTCCATACTTCTTACCAGCCGTACAAACCGCGCAGCTTGTCGGTAAGCTGTAAATTACCGCGCGACCACATGGGGACTGATACATGGTCGCAACATGGGAGCATTGTCGCAACATGAGAACTGCAACATGTAGAGAAATCGTTTCCACAGTGCTTACTACATACAGTGTCTGCGTATAACTGTCTAGTTTCATGTAGGCTATCTCTTTTTTTTCCATTTTGCTGGGTTTTTTTTTTTTGTTTAATGGCTCATTTTTAAAGTTTGTTTCTCCACATTTTGTGGCCATGTTTACATGTCCGCGACATGGGAACTGCAACATTGTCGCAACATGGGAACTGCTACATGTAGGGGAACTATTTCTACAGTGATTATACATACTGTGCCGTAGGTATAACTGTCTAGTAGTCTCTCTCTCTCTTTTATCATTTTGCTTTTTTGTTTAATGAATCTTTTTTTAAGTTTGTTTCTCCACGTTTGTGTCCATGTTTACATTCTGTGAGGTCTGATACTTATCAGCATTTAAAGTCCTGATAGCCTTGTAGTAATTGCAGTTTTTCACCGGATAGGTGTTACACAAATCTTTACCCGCTAATTAGCAAAGCAGTACAGACTTATGAAACCTTATATTCCTACACTCGGTTAATTTCAAACAGAACACTGATGATGTGTAATTCGGGCTGACTAAAAATGTTAACATTTCGCTCAATGTACAGTCCAGCCGACTATTTTTTGCACGTCTAAAGCCTATTATTCTAGTTACAAATTGAAGCAGCTAAAATGCAAGAGTTACTCAAGTCTTTGATAAGAACAGTATTATATATCAGGCTCAGTTTGGTGCGAATTTAGTTCGTCAAATTTAGGCAGAAACCCCGCCGTAATGTTGCCGTGAAATGGCGGCCAGACGCGGCTGTGTTGTTGCCGCCATTTTTGTGAATGTCAGAGGTCACAGGGAACACATTTAGGCTCACAGCTGTATGTTCGACAACCACAAATTAAAATCAAACAAAAATGACGATAAAAATGACATCAAATATTCTACATTTTGATTTCAAACTTGAGGAAGACATGGGCTAAACGAAACATAGTAGAAGACAAACGCTGTAAAGCAACGAGTTTCAGAATGCTTGATGTTAATTAAGTCTTCATAAAAGAACATCAGAACACTGCCATATAGACGTCAGTACTGTTCTTTAGCTTTGGTCCTGTTTTTTTACGATTGTTTTGTTTGATTCGCGGTAATTGCATATAGTATTTCCTGCAGATTTTGAAAAGTCGAAGGTGTGGCAACATGTCATAGAGACTGTTTAAGTATGAACTTTGTATTTTGTAGAAATACACCATTCTATTACGTTGTTCTGGGTTTCATGTAGAGATTTGTTACACCATGCATTTTGCCCTCGCGTGAACCTCATAGAACAATAAGTATGCAGCTGTTTACTATATATATCCAACAATAGAATAAGCAACTGGAGAAACATTCTGAAGAGTCAGACGCTCTACTCTGTCTTAGTCATTGGTGAAAGATAATAATAGTTTATTGTCAACTCGAGATGTACGTGTGGCTGAATTGATGTAAGGACATATCCTGCATCACAACAATATAGTAGACGTTCAGAATTACAACTCAGTAACACAAATACACATTAAAATAACACAGTATTAAATATCTAATTTGAATCGATCAGAAGATAGTGGGTAGTGGAGAATCTCAACAGTTGCTTGATTTATTTGGTATTCACAAGCCTGTAGCTCATATCTAACACTTTCCTGACTACAACAATGTGTTTCAGCTTCATTTGTATGGTTAATGGCTCGGGTTGAAAAGTCTTGCGCCGTTCCGATTAATCATTTATCCTGACACGACTCCGGATCCGTCAGACCCTGACAGACAGATCAGCTGGGGTGACCCAAACACCGTTTAACGTCTCGTTACGTGACGGGGTTTCTCACGATAAATTGAGCAGGGACACCGCACAGATACTCGACTGCACGGGTATATGGCACAGATACACTATTGCGCAGATACACTATAACACAGATACACGTCTGCACAGATACACGTCAAGGCAGGGACACCACACAGATACTCGTCTGGGCTGGTATATAACACAAATACGCGATCGCACAAATACACGTCTCCACATGTATGTAACACAGATACAGTATAACACAGATACAGTATAACACAGATACAGTATAACACAGATACACTATAACACAGATACACTATAACACAGATACACTATAGCACAAATGCTCGTCTGCATACTTATATATATGGCAGAGTCAACTAGACACAGATACACTTGGACTGAGCAGTATATTTTACTAGTTTATTGAAAACTCGTCAGGGGTCCTGAATTGGACTCACAAAAAATATATTAACCACCAAACTCGCCAAGTTAATATCTCCTTGCAGATATAGTGAGTGTCTAAAGTGCTTAATATGTTTACCGATCAGTTTTTTTTTCTAACGTCTAAGAACAAATCTTTAACATTAAATAGGTCTTTATTAACTGCATGGAATATTAAAAAGATGGAATAGTTTTGAGGGTAACATTTAAATTGGTGGCTACTAAGAGAAATTGTGTATAAAATAGTTAGAAGAAAGCTGTCCAAACTACAATAATTTCCTATTGTTCAAAACTCACGCATAAATGCGAGGCATATCATTCACAATTCAAGAACTCAAAATACAAAATGAATGAAAACTGATGAATCAGTGTTTCAACTGATGTATTCTTCGGAAAAAAAAGATATATAGTTATTGAAAACACAGTGTCACAAATCTGAATACCGCTAACACAAAACGAATGAGTCTATGAGTGAGAACTGTAACTAACCATGACCTTCATTGTCTGGACTTGTTTAGTAGATCCATGTCCTGATAAGAGTACAATGTACACGTGGATGGTCTTTTTACCGGAAAGAAAACAGCTACAGATTTTCAGGACGAATAATCCAGGAATCGCTAAGAAATGTACAGAAATGTTTTCCTTCCTACCTTCCCTCGCATGTTGCCATTGTTCCATCCAGGCTACGTGTTACCATTGTCTGTCTTTGTGCTCGTCTTATTACATAGTCTAGCTTCGAACGTGTCGTAAAAGACGAAAACACGGTTATACTATCTAAGGGAACAGATTGGAATGACGAATCTCCTTGTACCTTAGTACTGGCCAGAGCTCAGAGAAATCTTTTTCCGAATTAAATACCGCGTCCAACCGCATTACGTTGTTCTGCGCTCTCTGGATCTGACAATGGCGCGCGGCTAGAAAAGGTCGTCGCTCCAGACAGCATAAAGACTGGCCACTTTTTGTTGCACAGTGTCCGTACCTACGGCTTCGTCACAATGTAGCAAAACTTGTCCGGATCCCAGTGTAGCCGTTCCGTTAGTGAGAAGTTTCCCTCCGATAGCTAGTTCTGTAGACTGCACCACTGTCCAAACCACTCCGCCATGTTGTAGCCTCCATAGTATGCCAAAAACTGGGGACTTTTGGGGGTCTTCAGGGTCTTTTATGTGCTATTTTCAGATTGCATATAGACAACATAGCCGGCCAGGTTGAATTACCCTAGTTTTTAGAACTGGGCTAATCAGAAAACAGCCGAAGACCACCAAACCCCAAGTTCTATAAGCCTGCTACGCGGAGGCTAGCCATGTTGCGGCCTGCCTGCCCGCCGGTTGAGTTTACTGTATACTGTACAGTAGCAGCTCGGTAATGTTCTGAGCCATTGAACAAACAGAAAGGCGCGCATTCCTCGCTCGGCCCGCAATCCGAGAGAACACGAGATTTCCCGATAACTGGCGATGGCTTTGAGACAGGGGAAGACCAGACCAGATCTGTTTCCCACTAACTGTCATACTTTGCTGAAGGAGTGAACTAGCCTCTACCGGGCTTCGGCAGGCGGCTGGAAGGAGTAGAAATTAGCCAATTAGAGAGATAACATGCCAGGGGAATTGGTCCGCTATAGAGTATATTCGTGTACGGCAAAATTTACTCTCTAGCAGACCAACTCCCCCGGCATGTTATCCCTCTATTTGGCTATAATTTCTACTCCTTCCGCGCGATCCGCCGCCTGCCGAAGCCTGGTAGAGGCTACGGGTGAACGGCCTTCGTTGCGCCTTCCTGGATAATGGTTTTCGTCTATACATGTTACAGCAGACCAAGTTTTAACATAAAGAAAATAAGAGTGGTCTCATCAAGCTAATAAAGTATGTTACATTTGTAGATTATATTTATTTCGCTGTTGTATGTTCTGCGAGCTATATAGCAAAATGTTAGAAATTATTGCGACAAGATTTTATAATTATATAAAAAAAACCATCCAGTTAGTCTCTGACCACCTCGGCTAGGTCAGTTATTCAGGTATGTTAAAAGTAGCAATTGTAAAATTGTAGCGAAGGTTGTTTGAGACAATTGCCATGAGCCAAGGTCTCATTACGACCTGCTGACGTCATATCTGCCTCTGGCTACCGGTTAATGCACACTTTGTTTTGAAGTTAAAACTGTTTTGGAAACGTTTGGCCACAAATTTTGCCACGAGACGGTTCTACAGAAGTGATTTCGCTACAGTAGCGACCACCCGATGGTCGGGACATATGTTGCAAAGTAGGCAGAAAACTGCAACATTGTTGTCGGTTGTCGCCTTTTATGTGTCCATAATGTGGGTCTATTCCGGCCGAGCCCACCGCTGGAGGGGGGAGCATCAATCAACCCGCGGACAGCAGAACAAAAACAACAAGAACGACACAATGTAGCGTCTTGAGCGACACAATGTAGCGTCCTGTAAGGCCACTTTACTGACGTCCTCGTCACAACAAAAACGTGAAGAAAGACAGCATGTCCCTTACAGTGTGGGGACCCTGAGAAAAGATACATTGGAAAACATTCGTAATGTCAACGTCAACATTTACTTTTCTAATTCTCATTCCGGTGACATACATGTATCGATAACTTGCACGCACATACACATGAATGCCACACTACATGTTCTTGAGAAACATTAAAGCTAATTGGAAATATTAATGCTCATTGGAAAGATCAATAGCTGTCATATGCCTGATATTATCAGTGATAACTTTAGCATTGTTGATGCCAACACGTAAACGTACCTTATCTTTAAATATAGCTCGAGTCAACACCGAAACGTTAACTACATACGTTATAGCAGAGAGCTTCTTTTACAACGTCCTCGGTATGAGGAAATGTAGGAAGGTCCTCTGAGACGTTAAAGAGCTTCTTCGTGATCACGCCACGTTTCTCAGGCAAGGAAAACATCACGTTCTGAGAACCTTCGGCTGAAAGGGTTTTAAGAGTCGTCATCGGGATTCGCTAAGAACCTTGGAGTGGATTCCGAAGCCCAGGGGGGCTCAAGTACTGTTCGTGCTACATGTATGTGATATTCCTGGCTAATACTAAGCTGCTGCCGTTTGGATTATCACAAATTGAACATTGCCTCTAACACCAAATTTCCACTAGAGACTGCGGCAGCTCTAGTGGCCACAGATTCCATGGATTTCTGTGTTTGGTTTCTTTTAAAATTATCCATTTACATCTTGCACCATATTCTAAAGATAAAATTAAGGATCGTACAAGTCTGTTTTCGGTCTGTATGCGGACGCTCAGTGATTGCCGTCTGTTAACAACAAATTAAAAAAATGGGCCTTATTCTATCTCTGATTCTATCGCCGTCAACATAACTCTACAAAATAGACTGTTCTTAATTATTGTTTATATAGATTAAGGGTGTTCTCACCTAGGCGTAAGCTAATAATCTAAGGAAAGATATAGGCCAGTGATAGTGGAGTTAACAACTATAGGTTTAACCCGTCTCCCTTCATCTTTCGGACATTCTTAAGGTGCTAGTGTCTCATGATTAACTTTTTATCGTTCCAATCTGGATTCCTAAATCCGCGCTATCTGTAGACCCTGACAGGCGCACATGTAAACATCAGGTCAGCCTTCAGGAGTACTCTCCAAGCAGAGGTTTTGGTTATAGCTTATTTTTGGCGTGTTTTAGACTTTTCTATCGGGCTTTCTTTTTTTTTCACCAGTATGTTTTTTACGCAGCAAAAAGAAACTGACTGACTGACTGACTCACTCACTCACTCACTCTCTCTCTCTGTCTCTCTCCCATGGCTTAGTCAGCCGTCGGGGCAGCATGCTGCTTGGCCAAGATCTTCCACTGCTCGCAAAAATTTTGAAAAATTAAAGACGCACCAGTGCAAAAAAGAAAGCCAGATAAAAAAGTCTAAAACATAAATAAGCCAAAACCCAAACCTCTTGTTAGGGATTGTTCAGGAGAACACAGGAGCCGAGCAAGCTCTTTTCTCTCCCTTTTTACCCCGGACCACCGGAGCAGCTCGGGTCGCGAGGTTTGTAAGCGGGTCCCGGGAGCGTATTGTCGGGCTCGCCGCGCCTTTGTGTCCGCAGAAAGGCGTGAAACAGACGATCATGCGGAGATTCATGCGTCCTGACAGGCTCCGGTCCCCGCCGCCGCTTTGTAGCGTCGTTTGCCGCCGGCTGGTCAAAAACAAGCGGGGTAATGACGGGAGGTTGGGAGGACGTGTCCTGGTAACGCATTGTGGCACTTTTGTGCGCGGGAAACAACATGTACGGTGTGGGGCAGGGACGTTCTGTACGGGAAACAAGGGATCAGTTATAAGATGTATGGTGCGGGGCAGGGGAGGATCCGTCTTAGTCGCCGGGCCTTCCGCTGGGCCTGCCGGGCTTTTGCTGAACAGAATCTGTCAGAATAGTCAGGAATTTAATCAGCAAAACAAGAAAAATACAGAATATACACATATCAGAGAAAATACCGGACAGGAGTTTCAGAGTGTTTCTCCAATGTGTTGTTTTTAAGTGTATGCAAAATTCTTAAGTACCTTGAGGTCATCAATTGAAAAACAGTACTTTAAGTTCCAGAAATGGCAGAAGAACAAAAATACAGAATCTATACAGTGTGTGAGGGAAAATGTCGGACAGGAAAATTTTTCACGAGTTTCAAAGTGTTTCTCCAAGTGTGTGCAAGTGGGGTCATCAATTGAATTGAAAAACATTACCTTGAGGACACAATAAATAAATAAGTTAATTAAAAAAGTAATAAATCGTACAAACATTGCTTTACAGATGATACAGTATGTGTAGTTCCGTAGACGTGTAGTAGATAAGTCCTTAATGCTGTAGGGGGTAAGTTTTGTAAGTTTACTTCTTCCATACAAACATGTACATGCATGCATCACAGATCATGAACATGCGTTAACATATTCTCAACATATCATCTAATTATTTGAAATATGTTCTATAAGAATCCGTATCATTTATTGGGGTTTCGATAATGTGTTGTTTTATTGTCATTGTTTAATGTTAATTTGTCCTGATTCACAAAAGCTATATAATATGATGCAGGTCTTTAACCTATAACATGGTGGCGCATATATAGTTCTGACCATTTCATGATTTTCCTCCGTTCAAGGTCACCCTTATTCATGTATTAGACCCTGTTGCATCCTACTGACCTGCATAGAACTTTGACCTTTGACCCTTCCTTCCTCTCTCCGCCTGCCCTGTAGCCTGGACCCTGCAGCGCCCTGGTGACGAGCATGCGCAGTACAGCCCGGTACAAGCCGACCCAGGTCAGACCTTTGTCCCTTCTCGTTCCCAACACCACCAGTCGTCACTAACCTCTCGTTCCCATCATCACATCCTATCCTTAGTCCCACAATCTTTATTTCTACTTGCATTTTTAATATTCAGTGTTTTTTTTTTAAATTACCATGATAATTTGGCACTTTTTTAGCCGAGTCTCACTTAAGTTTGGAGAGAGTAGATTTTAATTCACAATTTAAAGATACGTCTACACTCTGTACAGGTTATGATAGGAGACCGGTACATCATACTACTACATGTGTAATCTTATAACAGTACTTGAAAATCTAGGAAGTAGATTCCTATACCAGAGCTTGTCGACATTACAGAATATTTTAGGAGTAGGAGTGTCGTGATTTGAAGTTTAGCCGCAGGCCTGAAGTCTGCACAACTAGAAACTCTAATTGTAAAGATTCGGGGAAATAATTATAAACTCGTGTGTACCAGGAATCAGCGCCCCCTATATCAATTCCCTGCAGTTCACTGGGCGAATTGTGTACATCTATTGTTTGGCAAAACTGACTGTAAAGCTTTGTCGCCTCTTTTGTCATCTGTTCCAAAAATGTACATATGTGTGCAAGTTTTGGGCGCAAGATTCGGTAAGGGTTCGGGTGAGTTTAGATAGATTTGTATTGCTAAAGACCAATAACCTTCAGTCGGGTTTGAAATTTTTAAATTGCTTGTTGCATCATAATGTAGGTAAGAACTCACTCTCACCCACTACACGCAAACCTTCCCTAGTCCCACTGGCAGAATTAACATCGGAAACACGCGAGTTGCTTCTTCTGGGACTCACGGCAATAAAGATAATAAGTTTTGCGTAGTCGAATCAAATACACGCGTACACGCTGCGCTCTCTCCCCTGGTGCATACACCACCGTGTGCCGCCGTGTGTGATTAACACTCACCAAGTACTCAACCATATTACTGATACATGGTGATATTTGTGTATAATGAGATTTGAAGGCTGCTGTATAATTTTGATGAAACGTGAGATGTGTGTAGCCTGTTGGGAAGCCGGTTGCTCCACTGTGAAGTCCCGGTGGTGCCCCTTTGCAAGCAAAAGTGTGACCAAAACATTGGCGAATTGATTGCTGAAGGAGTTTTGTAAATGAAGGACGAATTCTTTCATGTTTTTCTCGTCCGTAGTATGCCCTACCGCTGCTAGATTAAAAGAATCCCCGTCAGAAACTCAGAGGAGGCTGACTTGCAAAACTTCGGTTGGGGGATCGCGGTGGTGCATGTATAGGGTGAGGGCGGAACAAATGATGTAAACATGAGACTCGGTTTTACTTAGAAGAACGTGGCAAAAGTATGCATGTAACTACAGAAAGTTGGCATAATTGTAACTGTTCATTTGGCATTTGAACACATTTTCGAATTACTTGTTTCAGTAGTTACCTGGCCTGTTCATATAGGCACGTAGGCAGGCAGTTTCAGTCTTGTTGATTTCTTCGTAGAAACATTCGAATATCCTGTCAAGAAAACAGCCCAGTCTAAGGTTCAGCTCTATGCCATCAACAGTACTTTGCTACCATTGCCGACTTCCATAATGATGCACTACACATGTAACCCATGCTCATGGGGTGCTTAATGCTGCCGAAGAGGCATTAAAATCAATCAGGAAAGAGCCTTTCAGACCATAATTCCCGACTCCTATAGGAACAACACATTACAAGCTCTTGACTTGCGTGATTGAGTCATTCGTGATTAGTAATGGTGGTTAAACCCTGCGCTTAGATCAGGATGATACTGGGAACCGGCGACGGAAAACAGGATCTGTACTTAGATTATCCTTTGACATAACTGTTTTAGGTGATCATGAAAGGAACATAGTAGGAAGACATCAACATCGATACCAACTGCAAGTTCAAGCCATACGTATACTGATCGAAGAGTGACCATGCAACTTCCATTGTACACTAAATCAGTAGCTATGGCTTGCATATAGAATACCTTTGTTGACACTACAAAAGTACAGCAAATTCCGTAAGGTTGATAACTAGACATACAAACAGATACGTAGGTACAAAAAAATTATTCTAGTACAAGACTATAGATGAATTTAACTTATACTACTTGTTCTAAGGTCTTACCATTCTTGTACACAATTTTAGGTCTAAACATTCTTTGATATTTTGTACACAGTAAGGGTCATTACCTTCTAGAATGAAATCGAATTTATCTATAGCATGAAATTTAACAAAGTCCTTTGAGCAAATGTTATACTAGCGGGTTGGTAGATGTTAAGAAGCGGACCAAAGCTAACATTGCTGCTCCATGCTAGCGGCATTCTGCACTGTGTGTGGCTTTCCTATCTCTGCCATGTAAACGCAGATGTGACCAGTTTGTCCTGCCCACCCCTCCCCGCCCCGTACATGTACCTATGATGTTCCTGTGTTCCCGCCTTATTCCCAAATCACACCCCGGACAAGTCGGTCCATTTGGATGGAAATTCGGCACGAAATGACCAACACAGGACGGAGTAATTACCGCCGCTCTGGGACAGATGTAGAAAATCTGCTGATGAGTAAGGAAGGCATTTGCTGATAATGAATGAAGAAGACCTTCATTGTACATTTGTGTTCTACAGAACTAAGTACAGGTCGCATGGGTACAGTACATGAACATAAACATATACATTACATACATATGAACATATAAGAGTGTAAATAAATGTCTAATTTCTATTCTTTTCGGCTTCATCTCGCTTAGTAGTGATTGTATGGATATATGCGGCTGTGAGATTACTTAGAGTAGGTTTATCAAAAGTTAAAAGCTGATAATAGCAGTTTGTTCTGCCTGTTTCCTGTCTTTTCCGTTATTTGAATGAAAAACCTTTATTGTGCATTTTTGCTCATTGGGAACTAAGTACAGGTCACTGCAAATAGCGATGGTAGACTAAAATATATCTATAGTAAGACTACATATGTACAGGTTCTGCTTCTTCTCGCTTCTTAAGACAGTTGTAAATGTAAGAACAAATGGAGCTTATAGTTTTTTCTAAAACGCTATCTTCCATTCTGTTGGTCCCCTGAGTGAATATTTGTTGTGTTTTGTCGTAGAGAAATTCTCGGCGTTTGTCAGCAGTTTTGTCTGGTCGTTTCCCGACTTATGATCCCGAATTATTCTGAAACTCAGCTTTTCATTCTGTACGTCCTGAAAATAATTTGTTCCGTGTGGCCGTAGAGACGTCCTCGTCATTTCTACATACATGTGTGTCGAACCATCGGGGTAGAAAAAAAAAGGTCGAACAAATAAATGTCCATAGAAGCCAGACGTGCCAGCTTAACGGATTCCTGCGTGTAATTTTGCTAATTTCAGTTGTTACACACAAATGTAGTATATATCATTCTGTAAGTCCTCAAAATTAATATTTGTTCCGTGTACTTATAAAGAAACCCTCGCCGTTTCTGCATATGTATGGAACAAATGTCCATAGAAGCTAGACGTCCCAGCTTCGCGGATTCCTGCGTGTAATTTTGCTAATTTCAGTTGTTACTCAGTAATCACCGATAATGCCCCCCTCCCCCTCCTGCTGGGAGCTGAATTGTATCTCTCCGAATCTCGTCCATAACAAAGGTTTTAATTGGACCAAATTTGCCCAAATTACTGTTTTGTCCTCCCCCCAGATTATTTCCTAATTTCTGGATGAATATTTAGATTGGCAGGAGGCCTCAGTGTGAGGTAATGGGGTAAAGAGTTCCCCTGGAAGGGCTAGTCTCCACCAGACTCTTTTGCAGGCTGAATAAATAGTAGAAAACGGCCTGAAAATAATGTAGCTGGTGGTGGGGGTTGGCCTCCATAGACCATCCATTACAAGCAAACTCCCACCACCAGCTACATTATTTTCAGTCCGATTTTTGCTATTTATTTAGCCTGCAAAAGAGTCTGGTGGAGACTGAGGTATAAATGGGGTAAGGAGTCCCCCTGGTGCCGAGAGTTGGGGAGTACTTCTCTATATTGTACTATGTTGTTTGCTGTGAAAGTGGTAGATATTGGTCAGAGGAGAAGCTCGTACATTACATACTCTTTAGCTACAGTATTATTTCATTAGTTTTCTCAAAAACTGCTCACCGGAATCACAATATCTAAGGGGCCCCCCATAAGAACTAAGAAACAACAGGGTCTGCTTGACTGCCTTTGCTGTGTCATGTTGACATTGTTGAGTGCAAATATGACACACGTGAAGTTTAATTCTGCTGTTTTAGTGATAATTCAGAACACTGGTACTCCTTACGCTTTACTAAAACAATATATAAAATAGCCCGTACAAATCCCTTCCAAAAAGTAACTGCCAAATCACTTTGGAATTGGTCCTTATGAGATGTACTTGGTCCTCACCAACAGGGCCTTGACTGTTACCTCTATGGTTGTTACTCTAAGGCAATCAGACACTAAATCTTTCCGACATTGCGGGGCATTAGTCTTGTTGTGTTTGTGATGTTATCTGTGCACAGGGTTAACGGACAGATCGGGGCTTGTTAACAATAAGTCATCCATTTATCCTAAATCACTGAGATTTACAGAATTACATCGCAACAACATGTGTCTAGTGGCCGATTGTTGCAGTGACAAGTTGTGGCATTGTTACCTGTCTGTAACAATTCAGCAGCGCATTCTTGTATCACTTGCTACATTGTCCCTTTTATTGTTACAATTACTGCGACAAGCGATGAACACATTGTAGCGAGACATGTGCAAACTGTACCTTTATCCTGCTGTCAGTGATGATGGATGGGGCAAGTTTCACCGGGCGAAAACTTGTAGCGGTTTTCTCTTCACTGTAGTAAATTTAGCGGAATGTAGCAGTTTATTCCGCACCTGGTCTTGTGCGGTAAAATAGGTTTTTAAACACTTTGTAACAATTATTGTGGCCAGCAGGGTTTTAATCCAAGGTTAATTCGAACAGACGAAAGCCGAAGCTACGAATCCACATTGTGGGGCGCGGAGGGGACGGCAACAAACAATTGAGACATCGCTTCCC